AATTTCTTGACAACCTAATATGTAACTATTCAATCACAATGGAGTTTAATTTATCCTATTTTTGTTTGTTACCATTCTACTACACTATGTACCTGTGTTATTATGTAGGGACAATACAAGTGCTATCCTTACTATGTTGTTTGCATTGTTTTTGAAGGATTGATATTAGTCATCTGTATATTTACTTTTCTTTTTTGAAAAGTTTTTTTTCTTTACTTGTACCTGTTCAATGCACGAGGAAGACATGGGGAGTCAACCCCCACGTCACTTTCTGAGGTAGCCCTAAGGATATGTAATGAGTCTGGTGACAGTCAGTTCCTGAATGAGACTTTCTGACTGACATTGACTCAATGAAGGTGCTTATTCTCCCTGTGCCAAATCCTATCTCCATCAACCATTGGTACAGTTTGTGTCTAGTTTGTTCTTGATGTATGTTTCTACTGCCCTTGATGTCCTTAAATTATATGTATATATATTTATGTGAACATTTATATACATTATATAACTGAGTAAAGCTGCAAATAGTGTGACAACTATATTATCTGACACACATAGTGTGACAAGGTAGTGAAAAACTTAAAATATAGTTTCAATTAAAGAGTAACTTTGAAATCAGTGCTTGAAATGGGCCAACAACCAGTATAGTCTGTGAGCCACAACCCTAAATTTTGACCATAGGTACTGCTTAGGGGGACAAAGACTCCTTTTTGATATTTGACAAGGATGGAAAATACCTCTTTGTCTTCTATCTCAGGGTTTTATGGTATATGTGAGATGAGTATTCTTCTACAGTAGATGTCTGTTACTTGTTGGCGATAAATTCAACAATAAATGGACAGCAAACATTCCACTTGTTTTAAAATAATATATTCAAAAGAAGTCAAACTATATACAAAAATTCTTTACACTACGGATACCACAGCTGTATCTCAAATTCTAAATAATTCTCTTTTTCTTGTCAGAAGTCCAGTTAAGCTGATTCAGTTACTTTAGAATCCAACTGACAAGGCAAATTATTTTCTCTGCTCTTATTGCAACAGTATTGGTGAATAATATACTTAACATTATCCTGTGGGTCACTACAGTCGTATCCTGAACTTCAAATAATCGTCTTCTTTTCATCAATATCCACACGGGCAGGTTCAATTATTTTAGAACACCCTTTAACAAGACAAATTATTCTCCTTATCTCTATTAAACTGTGAAACTCACTTTGAAATACCACCTGTTAAAGCTAATTGCTCACATGCTGGCTAACTTAATGTTATTTGACTGAACTTTGCTTCTTTAGTTTTTCTTTCTTTTTAACTTGCACTTGTGCATAATTTATATAAATACCTTATTCACTGAGGTCTCAAAAAATAACGAATCGAGTAATGTGAAGTCAACAATGAATTGCAAACACAACATATGACTCTTACCAAGTTACATAACCAAACTTGTCATATCTATCACCTTTAAAATAATTACTTTTAACTTTT